TTTGCATAGTATGATACATGTGATTAGGGGGCATGTAATTGTATTTTATTTTATATAAGAGTTTGAAAATCTGTTTTATTTCTTCATACTGATAAATCATTTTGTAAGTTACATGTTTTAATAAAAGTTTTAAATTTTATGCTATTTTTACAGTGGGTCACTCCGGTGGCCCTAATGTGACACTCCAAACCGGATCGGGTTACCCGTATCGGTCTGAGGGGGTTACATAAATAAGCACCATCTTGATCAGTCGTGGCACTATCAAATCCAATCCTAAAAAAATAACAAAAACAACGGCCAAACAACAAAAAATGTGTCATAGAGGTAGAGAAAAAACGTGCCATAAAATCAAAAGAATATGTGCCAAAAGGCATAATTATTAAGAATAAAAGAAAAAGAAAAAACAAAGATGCATTATAATAAAGTAAAGGAAAAATAATGAATATCGATGGTTGGTAACCAATACCAAGACTACTGATGCCGCTAATCACAAAGATAAAGAAAAAAAAGGACTAACAACGACTATGAAAGGTGAAAAAATAACCCTAATTAAAGTTTATTAAAAAATTACTTCATTTTTAATGATTTTAAAAACCCTAATGAAAAATTCCTTAAAATGTAATAAGCTAGAATCCAATTTTTTATTTCAACCTAAGAGTATGAGAAGCCCTTGAATCCTAAAAAAAATATGTTTCTTTTTTTCCCACCCAATTAAGCTATTCAAGTAATAACATTTATTAGTTGAGCATTTGATTGATATTTTATGGTGTTGATTGTTATTTTAAAACATTAGCCTTTATCAGTTGAGTTTTTGATTTATAGTTTATGTTGTTGATTGTTATTATGTTGATATTCTGTTAATATTGCTGACTTGTTTGTTAACAAGTGAATGATAATATAATAAACGAGTTTAATATTTTTTGGAAACTTTGAGAGCTCGTTTAATTCTTAAAAGAACATAAATAAAATTTAAAAAATATTAAAATTATAAATAAAATTAAAATATTTAAAAATAGTAAATAAATATTTTTAAAAAATAATAATTAAAATTTTGTGGAAAGTAAAAAAAATCAATAGAGTATTAAAATATTGAAATTTTATGAAATTAAAATAAAATAAAATTAACATACAAGTCTTCACTTTTATGAACTAGAGTCTATTGTCGTTCACTGAATACATTTTCAATAAAATCAGTCTTATATTGAAATAAAATCTTTTATAATATTTTCTCTTATGGTTCAAAATTAATGGAGGCAAAGACTACACCTAAATGATGCTTGTAACACATCAAGCTCAACTTAAAATGATTAACGATTAAAATCATTCATTTTTTTTTATTTTGATCGATGCAAGATGAAGGAAATAAGAATAAGCAAGTTAGTAATAGCATAAGCAAAAACCATTTGGAGTAGTAAGAAATTGTTTCACATCGCATCTGTCGTATGACTAACGTTGTTTTTAGTCTCTGCTGCTCTCGTCGACTGTTCCAGTTCGTTGTTTTCTCAACTCTTCCAGCAACTGTAATGTAGAATCCCCTCCACGTTTTCTGAAGTAAAAAAGATGAAGAACATTGAACTTGGGTTTATTTTATTTCTCATCCTTTTCAACCTTCTTTTGCCCTTTTCCTATGGTAAAAAGTTTTCATTTTTCCTTGTTTTTTTAGGGTTTTAGTCTCAGTTGTTTTCATTGGGTTTCTCTATCTACACTTGTATATATTTTCAATTTATTTATTCACTGCTTAGGGTTGGGGATTAGGCATTAGTTCTCTACGTTGAGAAATTGTATGCTTTGGGTTGATTTTCTTTTTATGAAAGGAACAGTCGGTTTAACTGTTATGTGAAAGGGCTTTATTTCATTTATTTTGTTTGTTTATTTGGCTTTAGAGAATGGGATATTTTATTTCCTTTTGTTTTTAGTTTGTTATTTTCCTTATGAGGTTAAGCTTCAAAGTTAGCTGATTTATCCATGTGTATGTGTTAGATTACCATGCATGTAGATTGTGGACATTGCTTCCAAGTTTTAACTTCATGTTGTGTTTTTACCTTGAAAAGCCTCTCATTTTTCTTATGAATGATTTGCTAAGTAGGAAGGGACCTTGAATAAATACTACACGCTATAGTTCTAAGGAGCTGCAGCATGTTAATTTCATTCATTTTGTATTGATGCAGGAGAAACTGTTGGCGTTTGTGTATCTCAAGGTGGTAGTTTTCCGCCTTTCTCCTCTGAGGGGAAACCTCCGAAAAGGGTGGGGAAGGGACACAAAGATTTGACACTTTGTAGGGTGTTTCGGAAAAAGACTTGATGTGATGCTGCCCAGACACATCCTGCTTTGTTTTCTATTAGGAGGTTGGCTTTAACAGGGGAAGCCTGCCAAGAGTGTTTGCATCTGTGGGAACTGCTGGAATGTTCCATCTGTGATACAGTATTTCAGTCCTGCTCTAATGCTTACTTCTCAATGGATGCAAATACACAGGTTGACAAGTGTGTCTAATATCTTCTAGATTGTTAGTTATCACGTGAACATGATGCATTTATGGGGTTTAGTGTATTCTCAGTTAGACGTTCCCCTAGATTTAGTTCAAACACAGAAACTTTGTAGAGGTAGCTGCGCTTAGGTTGTGGTGGATGACCTGTATCTTTTTATCCTGATTTCATTTTAAATTGTTGTAATCTGTTGGCCAGGATGGTTACCTTCATGCCCCTTCCCATCATTTGAGGTTGAACATCTTCTATGTTGTGCTAAGGAATTAATGTGTTTAGGCCTTGGAGCTAGATTTAGTTTATATTTGTGTCATGATGATTTGGTATCATTTTTATTTAGATGTTCCCTTAGATTTAATTCAAACATAGAAACTTTTTGGCAGGTTCTAGCACCATGTGGAGTAAATGACTTTGTTTGTGGTAAAGCATCGGAATGGACATCCAATGGAACAGAACTATGTCTTGCTGCAGGTTTCGGTGTTAAACAATCTGTTGGCATGCATGGTGGTGATGAAGAAGCATCTTGTTATGGTGGCAGAGCTAGTCTTGATTCAATTGCTGATTCATGGGGAGCTTCACGAACTGAGAAGCCCCACAGAACTGGGAACTCCGGGCTCTTAGAAGATTTCCAGCAGTGGCTGCAGGATATGCCATCTAATGAAAGAGTTTCTTGGGCGGTAGGAGGCCTGGTTCTTACAGCAGGCCTACTTTTTATAAGGTTCAATCACTTCCTCTTGTTAGTCATTAAGTTTTCCTCCAGACAGGCAATTTATTTTCTCAAGTTTTATTTAGCTTCACGAAGCGGATACTTTCCTCCTGGAATGATGACCATGTCCGTAAAAGTATTCAATGCTGAATGGGCTTCACTTCTCCAAGCCAGTGTATTTAAGTAGTTTATAGGTCTAGTTTTCCTGTTTCTTCTCTTCATTAGTGTCTTATACTTGCTTACTACTTTTGTAATACTACTGACTGTGCAGCAACAGAAAGAGCCAAAATCATTGCCAAAAGCTTGCAGCTATTCAACGAACCGCAAGGAGACTTGAAGGCAAGATGAACCAGACAGCCCCCTCTTCCAGTTAAGGAAATAGGAAAGGAAACCGAAGATGAAACATTGCTTCATTCTTCGAATGGTATATTCAAACCTGTAAGAATTCAGTACTTGAATTCTTTAATGGTTTTTGTTTCCCACCATTGAGCTCTCATTGCTTGCTTACATGTTTCTTCTTTCATTTCTGTAATTTCTGCAGGTTGATATCCTTGAAGTTCACAACCTCTCTACCTGAGAGCTAGACTGATCAAAATTTTTGTAAACCCTCCTCCAGTTGTACCAGATAAATACGTCGTAATTTACACATTAATATAAGCCTAATTTTGCAGTTCGGTTGTGAAACTATAGCAAAAATAAAAGGTCAGCTTGCTGTTTTTGAGTTTGGAATCCTCCTTTGTAGTTAACTTAGATTTTGTCAATCACTTTTAGACAAATTGCCGTTGATATGGATGGATTTAGAAAGAGCTGCCCTTTAAAGATTCTTGAATGTTAATGTCAGTGATGTTGAAGGAGCTTTCTCAATATCTATATTTTAGCTAAGTTTTCATAGATGGTGATTAGTTACTGTTCCTTGCCACGTGCAACAGTTTCGATAGCTGAAGAATATGACACGATGGAATTCACACATGTTTAACAAATGTGTTGTATTCGTCTCGTCTTTAAGATTTCAATGTGTTATGTTTACATAGTTGATACGAAAAAGAGACATGCATGCAAACATTATGGAGTATGGAATCGGGTTTTTGTTAAAAAACTTGTATTTCTTTCTGATAAGCAAACCAGAAAGCTGATTTCCAAGTTTATATCAAGACATCCGTCCATACTTTGCTTCTCAAAGATTGCACATTGATGCTTATTAGAAAACTGTCCCTATTGGTCATATTGCCAAGGGTAATCCAGGACTGTGCGTTGCAAAAGGATGCCATGTTAGAGAGATCATCAAAATGCATGCTATCATCTATAGCCTTTTCCGACAACTATATGGAAATCTGTAGATAACAAACATTATGGAGTATCAAAATGGGTTTTTTTTGGTTAATTAATTTGGGGTGAATATAAAATAATATTTGTTTAAAAACTCTTAACCATTTGACATTGAATGCTCGTATCCTTGCGTACATAGTGCTCGAATGTGGGAGCACCAAGGTAATTTGGCGCAATTATATTTGCTATATAGATATTTTGCAATCCATAAAACTCAACTAGTCATGCACAAAATATAGCAATTATAAGAAAACAAATTAAAAAAAAGGTTTACGATGCATTGTCACAAAGAAACAAGTCAATATATCATAAAAAAGCAATTATTATATAAAAAATAGCTATGCATCACATGGTTTCAAGCAATTATAAGCAAACAAAATTAACCACCGTTCATTGGATTGATCTCCATTTAAAGTTGAACAAGAAAAACACTGAGAAAATTGATGACACTTGCATATAAAACTCCTCTCATTCAAACAATTCCTAATTAGGAAGAAACATAATTCATTTCGCCAATCTTCCTTACTTTCTGATTACTGCATTTTAGGAACCTACATTCACATTGAGGGCTGTCATCAAAGTCATCCATAGGGAAACCAGCAGCAGCAACCCCCACTGAGAATTCAAGCTCATCCCCTTTCCTCAACACTTCAACAACATTAACCCAGAAGAAAAGAAACTTCAAACTGACACCTTCAAGTCTGGCAAGCCTGCCCTTAGATATATACCCATTGATGGTATTCTTATACCTCAATTTGTAAGCCCCTTGAAGAGTGAAGGTACAAGTACCATTCAAGAAAGCCGAGAATTTCCCCGATAAAGGGTCGAAATCATAGCCAGTGACACCAGCTGGTAGAAGACCAGTTGGGAAGTTGAAATCCCTGAGGATTTCATAGGCTGTTGGATTGTCTTCGAATGAGATTGTTTCCCAGACAAATGATTGGATGGTGAGAAGGAAAAAGAAGAGAAATTTCTGCGAGAAAGAACCCATTTCTCAGCTTCTTTTTCACTTACCTTTCTTGTTACCTCTTCTTGTTGATGTTCTGCATATATAGATATCTTGCAATCCAAGCTATGTGGAGTTTTTTCAATCAAGAAAACAGTACTTGATGACGTGTGGACAAGGAGGAAATCGTGGAAGTGTTTCCTTCATCAGCAAGATACTGCAAAATAGTACAGCATTGAAAAGTATGTTATGGATTGATCGGCTATTTTTTTATATATAAATTTTTGGAGTTTTTGGTTGGTTTTGTGATAGCAAGAATACTGATATTCATCATACAAAGACATAGCAAGAAGTTGCACCTTATTGGTAATGTTTTAATAAATACCAAATATGTACTTCTGTTGTCATTGGCTATGATATTCATATATTCCAAGATAATAAAAAATGTATGCTGATTAGTTTTAAAAAAATTATGCTGAAATGAACTCACAAGTGCTCTTGATGATTAAAGAGAGTGTTGTTATTTCTAGAGGTCCTGGGTTCAAACAGCTGTATGTGTATTGTTAATGACTAAAAAAAAATTCTAAATAAATATTATCTTATAATCACCATAAAAATTGAAATCTAACGAGTTTTAACTTAGTTAATATGACTGTTGTGACTTCGAGTAGGCTTAAACATATATTATTTTTTTCATTGAAGGATTTGAAAGTTTAAATAATTTAGACATTAAAAGATTTTCTCTCAATAATTTTAACTCTGTTTTTTTTTCAACATTTTTGTGCCACCTTTCTTTTTCCCTTTTATTTTTGTTTAGTTGGCAAAAAAACACCAATTTTAATGTTGATTACTGATCATCGGTGATTATTAGTTCTCTTATTTTTTTCATATGATGTCTTTTACTTTTCCCTTTCCTTGATTTTTTTTCAAATTTGAATAAGAATTTATATACTTGTGATACGCTTTTCTCTGATCTTGTGGCACGTTCCTTAGGGCTTTTGGTATGTTTTTCGCATACCTTTACGATCGTTTTGGTGCTCGTATAAAGACCCTCACGACATTTGTTTACTGATTTGTTTGTCGGTGATCACATATAGTCAGATCCCCTATTTGATAAAAGGTTGTTTGACAATAATTGTGTAGCGAAGAAATTTGTCAAATGGTTTCGTTCGCTCACCACTCTTTTACTTCGTAAAGTATCTCGTTTGACAGAGACAATAAATTTTTATGAAGGTTACTGGATTCTTTTGATGTTGATTGTCATTCTCAAGGAATTTTTTTTTTTGTATTTTAAGTTTAATAGTTTTATTTTTATATGTGTTTTTTTGTGTATGACTATTGACCTCTTTTTTCTCTCTATGTTTGATTGATTTGTAATTCTGATTCATTCTATTGTTTTTATTAATGAAATCTTATTGTGATTGTTAAAAGAAAATAGCAATTTAGATGTGATATATAAATTGATTATTAGTATATTTTAATTTATAAATAGAGAAATATTAGAATGATTCAGATATTATGCAAAGTTTTATTTTTATGATCATGTATAATAAATATTTGATATAGTTAGGAATGAAGTAATGACTTGAATTTTAAATAGAGTAATCATAAATATAAAAGAAGAAACTTATTCAGAATTCAATGTTAGTCATAAATTTGCTTGTCTTTTACCTTTTTGTTGGCTTTAGCCTTGGCCAAAACAAGCTGCCAATGTTCCCCCATTGACAAGGAACCTTCCCATGCCACTTTTTTTTTTTTCATCTTTTCATGAAAGTTTAACTCAAAATCAATTAAATAAATAATCTAAACCACAAAAATGAAATTCCCGTGTATCGAAATTCAAGTGAAACTAGGGTGGCGTTTGGTTGGATAGAATCCCTTGGAATTTGTGGGAATTGGAATCCAATTTCACCACTTTCCCATGTTTGGTTCAAGTTTTTTAAGGGAATTGAAATCCCTGATGGAATTCAATTCTATTAAATGAGGGAAAATGAATTCCATCCAAAAATAGATGGAATCCAATTCCCTTGTTGGAGGGAATTGAAATTTGACCATACTACCCTCATCAATCATTTGGTAACTTATTCATATATTGAATAAAAATATTTTTTTATTATTTCGGGTCGGGTCGGGTCGGGTGAAACTTTATTTTGGTCGGGTCGGGTGAAACTTTATTTTGGTCGGGTCGGATCGGGTTTTTTAAGTTTGATATTCGGGTCGGGTCGGGTTCGGGTTTAGGGTGAAAAAAACCGGACCAACCCGAAAATATATATAATTCAGGTCAGGTCAGATTAAGTCATTGTTTTTATTAAATAAAAACAATTTTTTATTATTTCGGGTCGGGTTGAGTTGGATTTCTAATTCATATATTCGGGTCGGGTCGGATGAAACTTTATTTTGTTCGGGTCGGGTTTTTTAAGTGTGATATTCGGGTCGAGTTTTTTTAAGTGTGCTATTCGAATCGGGTCGGGTTCGGGTTTAGGGTGAAAAAAACCAGACTGACCCAAAAATATATATAATTCGGGTCGGATTAAGTCACTGTTTTTATTAAATAAAAATATTTTTTTATTATTTCAGGTCGGGTCGGGTCGGATTTCTAATTCATATATTCGGGTCGGGTCGGATGAAACTTTATTTTGTTCGGGTCGGGTCGGGTTTTTTAAGTGTGATATTCGGGTCGAGTCGGGTCGGGTTTTTTTAACTGTGATATTCGGGACAGGTCGGGTCGGGTTCAGGTTTTGGGTAAAAAAACCGGACCGACCCGAAAAAAAAAATAATTTTACCTTATATATTTAGGAATAATTACAATAATACCCCTCTATATATAATTTTTTTCAATTAAGTTAATGTTTTTATTGAATAAAAATAAATTTTTTATTATTTTGAGTCGTGTCGGGTCGAGTTTCTAATTCATATATTGAATAAAAATAGTTTTTGGTATAACTTTTGGTAACTAATTAACATACTCCGATTGGAATGTATCGAAATATTGCTCTATCTTTTGGTAACTTATTAACATATTTTGATTGCGATGATTTTAACTTATAATGTTTATTAGCATGATTTTTATAATTTATTGAAATGAATAATCAATCAATAAAATGAAAATTTAATATTTTTTAATTTTTTATAATATATTACTACATGTAAGTTATAAAATAAACTAAAATAAAGCAAAAAATAAAAAAATAAAATAAGAAGGACAATTCTGTCATTTTACATGCATACATGCATATGGTTAGTATCTACTTACATAATATAAAACTTTTTAGTTTTACATAGATTTAGAACAGTTGTATGAATGAAAATAAACATTAGAATATTTATCGATATTTTTAACGTAAAAATGCCACATTAGAATATTTATTAAAGTACAAGGGTTAAATATAAAACTATCCCTTTTCTAACTACTGTTTACAATATATCGATAAGGCTTATTTTCGATTTTTATATGATTTAATTTATTCATTGAACTTAAAAAAATTATTTGTTGAACAATTTTTTTGCTATATTTGGCTCATTTAAAATTTCACGAAAACCATATTTTAGTGCTTGAAAATGGAAGAAAAATAAAATTATAATTTTTATCTTTCTATTAGTTGTATTTTATTCGGATCTCCTTACTTATCAAGGTCTCTGGAGTTTCTAGAAACTTTAACATTTTATATCATCCAGATAGTTACAATCCTTTCATATGACAACTGACAGACTCACACGATGTGTCTTAGTCAAATCTATTATCTAACATTTATATTTATTTGTTCTATCAACCTACAAATAATCATCATAATCTTAGATGTGACATAAGTACTATGGACCCCGTATTAACCACCATATAAGGCTAGAGGGGAGAGACTCCATCTCTTTCTTTTTCTCAATCTCTTTCATTGTTCATCATCTTTTTCAGATCATCTATTCTCTACATTCTTAACAGAACTATTGTTTGTGATTCTTTACCCAAATTAAAATGGTTGAACCGTTAAAAACCGACGTAATTTCATTTCTCCCATCAACAATTGATGGGGTAAGTGTAAACTATTTTTTGACCTAAAAGAATTGGTCAAGGTGAATCCCGAAAGCAAAATAAACAACCCAACTTTCTATCTTCTTTCAAAAATCCTCCCGAGGTCCCAATTTTTTTCGGCCAACAACAAGTCATGCATGACCTGATGTCTACCAAGCTACCATGGTTCCTACGACCATAGTAGTTAACAATACCCCTAGTAGTAGTACAACAGTTTGCATACTCCAACGATAAAAATATTTTGCAAGTTCACAACTTGCAAAACGAGCCGCGAAGTCCGCATACATAATTATACGCTTCCCAAAGGGTAGAGATTCCTCCACCCCAACTTACAACTTACTAAATCTACCAAAGGGTCGAGTTGTCTTCGTTTCAGCAATAAAAGTTTCTCTATTGTGTTTTAAAGAGTATTGAGATGTCTTTGCCCTAGCGAGAGGAATCCCCTCATTTCTTCTACCAAGTAGAACATGCCTCCGCCCATTCTATAGTGTTCGTTCGGGAGAGTGAAGATACTTCACTCATTTTGCAATGCTTCTACAAGGGCGTAAAGTTGCCTTCTCTTGTCTAAGAGTGTTGAGATGTCTCCACTCCACACTAACTAAAGAATTTTTCACATTGTCTCTCTATTATCTGGCTAAAAGAGAATCAAGATGCCTCCGCTTTAGCAATAGGAGTCTCTCCGTTATTACTCGTAGAATGTTGAGATGCTTCTACCCGAGGTGTCGAAATATCTATACTTCTTGCAATTGGACTATATCTCTCACTCCAGCAACAGAGAAACATGCATATATTCGCCTATACATTCATAATCTAAAATCAATATTATCATAAACCTTAATTTGACATAAACTCCTAAATAGGATCCATTTTTAGGGTTTCACTTATATTTGGAAAACAATGAAATTAAAACTACCATTAAACAGGAAATTCTATAATGTTTTCAATGTTGAATTCGATTTAGAGTTTTGAGCCCCTAAACCACTTGAATCCATAAATTCAAATTTAGAGTTTTGGATCAACT